GGGTGTTTTAAAATATAGGTTTGATTTTCTTCAGGTTTGGTGAGGCTAACATATCTGGAGAGGATTGCTACTGAAAAGATAGTTTGCTACTCACAGTTCCCAAGAGGAGGGTGGCATGCCACACCATGGAACCGAGACACACAGGGGCACGCCCAGGCCAGTGAGGAGGTGGGGAGAGTATGGGCAAGAGTGTTTACAGTAGTTTCTGTGGAGAGGAATGGGCACGGGACAGGGTGAGCAGGTTTAGGGTTGGCTGATTTGACTAATTTCAGCAGGTTCTGGACATGAGGACTTCCTTTAGCTGTCTGGTACCTGGCCCTGGAGTACTTAAGCCAGGTGGACAGTGGCCTGGAGTCTGAGAGCTCAGTAAAGGAGGCGGCTGGGGTGTGCGTTCTGGGTTCCACGGCTTGCATAGGAAAGGTGCACTCAAGGCGAGTTGCTTACTATCTCTAAGAATTGGCCAACTCTGGGAGGGGCGGTCCCTCCAGGGTCAGCAAGGTCCCAGAGGACACAGCATCAGAATACAGAAAAAAAGACATATTTAATACACTGGCGACACAGTCGGAGTGTGGACTTTTATACAGAGCTGGGAGAAGGAGCCAGATAAGGGGACATTGGAGCAGAGACCTGAGTGAGGGGAGTGAGTGAGTCATGCGGGTCTGTCTTCGGGAAGGGTCCTCCAGGCAGAGGGAACAGCGAGTGCAAAGGCCCTGAGGCAGGAGAGTGCTTGGTCTGTTCAATGAATAGAGAAGAGGTCAGTGTAATCGGAAAGGAGAGACAAAGGGGAGGCAAGGAGACCAGGTCGGGAGCTGGGGCTGAGAGAGACTCTGGCTTGGACTGTGAGCAAGATAGACTGTCACGGTTGGGGTTTTGGAGGTGCGGGGGTGGGACTCTGAGCAGAGGTGGAGTGTGATCAGACTTGGGTTCTAACAGGGTCCTCCTGCTGCTGTAGGGGAGAGGCAGGGGAGCAGGGAGACAGGAGGCGTCCTGCCACCATCCAGGAGGGAGAGGACGGGAGGAGGAGGAAAGTGGTAGGATTCCGGATATAGGCTAACAGGACTGGATGGGGAGCGGGTGAGGGAAGAGAGTGAGAGATAAGTATTAGTGGGAATCCTATTTCTTTTTTCAGAATGAAAACAGATGTGAGGCCATTTTAGCAAATGGTAATCTGAGTGAAAATCCTACTTTCTTTAGCTGATGTCTTTCTAGGCTTCTGTGGCCTCATCCCTCTGTCATCCCACATGTGCGGAAATATTTTATTCACTCGGTTTTCTCCCTCCACCAAATTACCAGCAACTCTAGGGCAGGGACTGAGTCCAGTTCTGGCCCCGCTGCTGTGACAGGGCCTGGTTAACAGTAGGGGCTCTGGAAATGCACCTCTGAGACCTCTCCCTGGGTGCATCCCAGCAGGAAGCTGTGTCTCTGCCCACGTGTTCCCTTGACGGCTGGTGGAATGTCCCGGTCTTCTCCACCTCTGTCTCCTCTGGCTGGACCGCTGCCTCTCCCTCTCCTCCAGGTCTCCATTTAGATGCCACCTCCTAGGCAGGTCCTTCCCTCATCGCGCCCTCTGAAGTGGCCGTGCCCCACCTGGTTACTCTTTGCCAGGTCACCCTTGTGTTCACCAACATTAGAAATTGTTTTCTTCTGATCACATGTTCACTGTGTGTCTCTCTTGCCATCCCTGTGTGGTCTCCACAACGGCAAGGGCCCGGTCTCCAATGCTCGCTGCAGCGTTGGAGGGGGTGTCACCGGTACCCACCCTGATGCCTGTCAATGGGATGGGACACCTGTGCCCTGGCAGCTGTGGTATTCATGCCAAAGACCCCCACCTGTGCTGCTTTGGGGACCGGCTGATTAGAGCTGTCTCACTAGGACATAGCAGGGGCATTGGGACAAGACCAGAACAAAAGTAAGTGGAAAGACAGATCCTTTGCAATTTTGAAATGTTATACATTGTGAATTTTTTGGCAGTAATTTTGATTTCTGAACATATTACATTAAAGTGTGATTGATCTCCACTACTGATTTCTTGGGCTTTCCCTTGAATTTTGGGGCAAAGGCAAGTGCCTCACTGTTCCCGGCCCTGCTCACAGGTGAGACCTGGGAATCTGTGTTGTTAAATCAGCCTTTCTGACCTCAACCGTGAGTCCCAGAGAAGCACTGAGCTTCTGAGACATGGGGGATAAACCATATGACCTACAAAATAAAATACATTTAGAAAGGTCTGTTTTGCTGTTTCCCCCAGAGGAGTGATGGTCCCCTGCATGTATGGAATTAGTTGTCTGTACCAGGGTCAAAAGCGAGTCCCATTAGGGGCCTCCCATAAGGAACTGTATCCCCACACTTTGATCAGAACAGCTCTTATCCCATCTGATTTATGGCTGGGCTTTCTGCATCAGATTCCATGCGAAAAATAGGTTCCATTGCTAAAAAAGAGGTGGAAGGCCGGGCATGGTGGCTCACACCTATAATCCCAGCACTTTGGGAGACCGAGGCGGGTGGATCACCTGAGGTCGGGAGTTCAAGACCAGCCTGACCAACATGGAGAAACCCCATCACTACTAAAAATACAAAAATTAGCCAGGCATGGTGGCACGTGCCTGTAATCCCAGCTACTCGAGAGGCTGAGGCAGGAGAATCACCTGAACCCGGGAGGCGGAGGTTGTGGTGAGCTGAGATCGCGCCATTGCACTCCAGCCTGGGCAAAAAGAGCGAAACTCCGTCTCAAAAAAGAAAAAAAAAAAAAAAAGAGGTAGAAAAGTCACAATCTTAGAGTTGCAGTCCTGGAAGCAGTTTGTTAGGTGTCCAGAAGCCTCCCAGCTTTGGAATTAGGGCCAAGAGCCCCTAAGCCCCGCTCCAGGCATGAGGGTCAGGATCGGGAGTACATTTGTCCCTCTCTCAAGTGAGGTCTTGAGAGGTACCCAAGTCTGTGCCTCTGCCTCAGCCACCAGGACAGGTCAGAACCTGCAAGATGATGCCAGAAACCTTGACCACTCAGGGGCCCCAGCTTCCCTGCACAACCCCAGCCTCTGTCCCTCCTCCCTTCCAGTGCTGTTCTGTTCAGGGATCTGCCCCCCACCCCACATGGCTTACTTCCCCGCTCTCCTGAATTTTAAAGGGCTCCATTTTATACTTCTTTTGGTACCATATTTCTGTCTGTTTAGCATTTTCAGTGGCCTCCTGCCTCTCATAGCCCCTTTCGAGGGGAATAAAAGGTTATTCCATACATCTCAGGCATTATTAAAGATGACGGCAGTGCACGATTACTTGACACCCACCGGGCTGGGGAAGGTAGCGCTAATTAGTCAGAAAACTTACTTTTCAGACGTGAGTCATTGGAAGCAGGTGTCAAGGGAGCCTTTAACGAGGCCCTCGTGACTCAGTTGATATTTCCACTCTGCATCACCGCGTGTATTGTACTGAGATTGCGGTGGCCTCGCCACCAGAGACAGAGGGCAGAGCAGAAACAGAGAGTGAGAGAGAGAGAGAGAGAGAAAGAGAGAGAGAGAGAGGAGGAGAAGAGAAAGACGGGGGCGGGGGGGACGAAGAAGAGCGAGAGGGGAGAGAAAGAGAGTGAGAGGGGTGCTTGGAGGACCCAGTGTCCAATGTTAAAAATAAATGCCTTCTGCTTTTTGGCCGTCTTTCCTATTTCCCTTCATTCTTTTAAAAATTAAATTATTTTACTTAAAGTCAGGGTCTTGCTCTGTCGCCGAGGCTGGAATGTAGTGGCTATTCTCAGGTGCAGTCATGGCTCACTGCAGCCTCCAACTCCTGGGTTCAAGGGATTCTCCCTCCTCAGCCTCCCAAGTAGCTGGGTTTACACCACACCTGGCTAACATTCCTTCAATAAATGTTTATTGAGCACCTACAAGGTGCAGGCCCTACACGAGGTGCTGGGAGTCAATGGTGAGCCATATTGCTGAGTCCTGTAGCTAAGAAGAGGAATAAATGAGTCACTTTCAGAGGCTGATGACTGGATATAGAAGATCAAGCTGGCTAAGAGGAAAGCGGTGGTGGTGCTGCTGATGTGGATTCTTTGAGAGGTGGTCAGGGAAGGAGCCAGCCATGCAGTGCTCCACAAGAAGGGTATCCCTGGCAGAGGGATGGGCAGGTGTGAAGGTGCTGGGATGGGAATGATGTGGCTGTGTCCTTATGGGTTAGGATAAGCTTGTGACTGTGACCTGAGTGGGAAGCCCCCTCCCCACGCCTGGCACTGAGGGGCTGTATGCCAGCTGGAGTGGAATCTGCTGGACTGGCCTGGGTGCTTTCTCTACTGTGGGTCACATATGCTATATGAAGTTGGGGACTGTTGCAGGTGGGGTCGGTGCAGGTCGGGTGGGTGCTCTGCAGGTCATTGGGGTCACAGGGAGGCCTGTGGGGGCTGCAGACTGTGCTTCTCAGTCTGCCCAGGGAACTGTAGACCCCCTTTCAAAAACATCTGTCCCTGCTCTAGGCTTAGATTTATATGCAGGTATATGATGTAAAGCATTTTTTCACAGCTTAAAATAAATGCATAGAATAAAAACCCTACATGATTTTTAAAAGATAAAATGAAGTGATTTCACCTCATAGTCAACAATGCTGACAGGCCCCCTGATGACTTCTCAACTGTCAGGGGTGCCTTTGTGTGAAAGTTTGAGAAACTGGCCCTAAGGGGTGAAAGAGGTGAATAGAGGACGGAAGAGAAGGAAAAAAGGATGAAAGGGAAAAACGAGAAAGAAAGGCCCCAGAGGTGGGGGGAGTCAAAGAGAAACGAGAGAGGGAGTACAGTATTCACAAGTCATTTTCCTAAAAGTGTCTGTTCTCTCTCTTTTTCAGGCCCAGCAGGGCCCCACCGGGCCTGAACGACACAAGCACACAGGGGCCTTTACTTCCAGTCCCCACACGCTGGCTTTCCTGGGAAACCCAGCTCCCCCTTTTAAGAGAGCCCCACGGAAGGCATTCTCTCTTTTTCATCAGTTTCCTTTCCCTGGACATGATCCACATTAGAGACAGAGACATGTTGTTGTTGCTGTTTGTATTTTTCTCCAGGCAGACCCATAAAGCAAGTTTTTGCTGGGCATGTTATTTGCATGGTGAAAAGAATAAGCCATCTCCTTACTGAGGGAAACAGACATAGGGGCTGGGGTGGGCGGGGCTGGGCTGATGACCCGGCTTCCTTTCATGGCTGCAGGCGGAGGGGCAGGGCCCCTCTGCTGATGTGCGGGTGTCCTTCCCGGGGTGTGGGAGTGAGGGTGTCCTTCCCCGGGTGCGTGGGAGTCGGTGCTGCGCCAGGACTGCACTCGGAAGCGGCCTGTCCCTGTCCAGGCGTCTGCAGTGGATGGCAATGGCTTCGGGCCACAGATGGCAGGCAGGGCAGGCGTGTCCTCTGCGCTCAGTTATTGTCTCTGGTGTCCGAGGAGGCACTTCCGAACAAGATGTCACTGTCCTGGGACACGCTCAGCTGCGACTTGGTTTTGATGAGGAACTGCGCCCTCCGGAACATCACCCTCTCCTGCTCCTGCTTGAGCTCCAGGTAGGAGCGGGAGAAGGTGTGGAAGATGGAGGTGACTGGGAAGGCCATGAGCAGGATGCCGCTCAGGATGCTGCTCAGGGCCACCACCTGGCCCGGGGTGCTCCTGGGGACCATGTCGCCATAGCCCACCGTCGTCATGGTGATGACGGCCCACCAGTAGCAGGCAGGGATGCTGGTGAACTCGGGGCTGTCGGCCATCTCGTTCTCGATGACGTAGAGCAGGGGCGCGAAGAGGGCGATGGCCACGCAGAGGAAGAGCAGCAGGAGCCCGAACTCGCGGGTGCATCGGCGGGCCGTGAGCCCCAGCGTCTGCAGCCCCAGGGAGTGGCGCGCCAGGCGCATCACGTACAGGATGCGCAGCGCCCGCAGCACGCGCAGCACCAGCCCCACCTTGTCCAGGTAGCTGTTGCCCGCGCCGGGCTTGCGGCGGCCCGCAGCGGCGCCGTCCACCAGCAGCGTGATGTAGTAGGGCAGGATGGCCACCAGGTCGATCAGCGTCAGCGGGCTCCGCAGGAAGGCGAATTTGCTGGGTGCCTGAATGAGCCGTAGGAGGAACTCTAGGGAGAACCAGCCCACGCACACCGACTCCACGATGAAGACGTTGTGGCACATCTGGGAACAGTGGCCCTGGGAGAGAGGGGAAGGGACACCGGAGGGGTCAGCGGGTCCACCAGGGAAGGAGCGCGGAAGCTCTGCCCTGTGCCCTGCTGGGCTTCCCAGGCAGAAGGTGACCTCTCCAGGTTGAGTGGCCCCGGGTCCTCTCCCTAGTTGTGCCCACTCTGAGGCCTGCGGCACTAAGCACCATCTCTACTCTGGCTGCTCCTCATCTCTCTCTCCAGCCCCCACCTCGGCCCTGAACTCGACCCCCAACCGGCTGCCTCCCTGACGCCCCCACCTGGCTGTCTGAGGGGCATCCCGAACTTGCCATGGGATCCTGGTTTCCTCTGCCCACTGGTGGTTTCCCTCCCTCGCTTTTGGCAATCCCATCTTTCCAATTGCTTAGGACAAAAGACCTGGCGACATCCTTACCACCTTGTGTATAACTCCCAGGAAGTCTCTTCATTTAAAACAGTGCGAGAATCAGACCCACGGCCCACTGCTCCCCGGGCTACCGTTCTTTCTCGCCTGGACAGTTGCAGTCACCTCTCCAATGGGCTCCCTCATCCCTGCAGCCCATTTTCCACACATAGCCAGAGGGATCCTGTTCCTCCTCTGCTTAGCACCCTCCATGGCTCCCAATGGACTCTGAGGGATAGTCATGTTCAGTGCCCCCATCACTGCCCCGGGCAAATTTAGGCTAAGGCTGCCTCATCGAAGCTTTCAAAAGAGGCTGGAAATGTGCAGTTTTACATGAACTCTCCTGGTGATAAATGTTGGTGATAATGTTGGTTAAATAGATAAAATGTTGATTTAAGTCCTGGCGATAATTCAATGCAAAGAAATACTCTATGGTCCACGAAAACATATTTTTACTGGGTTTGGCATGCAGGCTGCCAGCTTGCCTCTCTGGTCTGCAATATAACTGGGTGGTAAACAGTCCTTGAGTGGATTTGGGCCTCATCCTTGAAGGGGCCTTTGGCAGAGAGGAGAGGCCAGCGTGGTTCCTGCCTGGGGCATCTTGGAGGTTCTGGGTTACGGCTGAGTTCGACACGTCCCACCTGAACAATTCTGTCTCTAGGAATATGTTAGAGGCTAGAGATATGAGCTAATACCTGGTGGGGCTTTAAGGTCTTAGACCTCTGGGATGGGAAGCCCCTTCCTCTGGGAAGCCTTCCTGGAGTGTGTCCCACTAAGTAGCTCCAGCATTGTCAGTGGGCCTGCCACACAGAGCCTCCTTAGCTTGTGTCTCATGCTTATGGTGATGGGGGGTGGCGCCACTAATCCATCCCAACCCCAATAGACTTGAAGCTCCTTGAGGTTGGAAGACTTGTCCTGGTCACCCTGTCTCCCCTGTAGTACCTGCATACAGTAGGCACTCAAATGTGTGCACAAGGAGCAAGTGAAGCAGTGAATCCCACTCTGGGCCCCAAAATGAAGCTGAAGAACAGCATTTTCACTGAATCCTTAAAAAGGCAAGGTATTATTATTTTTTCAAAAAGCAAGTATCAAAAGTCGAACAAAACAGTGGCTTTATTAGTATTTTCCTGATAAAATCACGATCAAAGATGTTGGAGCTGAGAAGAAACTTATACTAGGTACAGCAATTTTCAGACAGGTCTCAAATGGTGAGCATTTTCCCTTTTCTTTCTTTTTCTTCTTGACCATAATCCTTAAGAGAGGACTTTCTGCACACTCGCTATGCACCACTTCTAATCCCTTCATGCAGTGTGGACTCACTCAGCCCAATCACTTCTTTTGTGTTTTTTTTTTTTTTTTTTTTTTTTGCTCTTGTTGCCCAGGCTGGAGTACAGTGGTGCAATCTTGGCTCACCACGACCTCTGCTTCCCAGGTTCAAGCGATTCTCCTGCCTCAGCCTCCCGAGTACCTGGGATTATAGGCATGTGCCATCATGTCTGGCTAATTTTGTATTTTTAGTAGAGACTGGGTTTCTCCATGTTGGTCAGGCTGGTCTCGAACTCCCAACCTCAAGTGATCTGCCTGCCTCAGCCCCTCAAAGTGCTGGGATTACAGTTGTGAGTCACCGCACCCGGCCCCAATCACTTCTAATCACTTCACGTGAACTCACTGAATCCTTGCAACACTGTGAGGTGGGCCTGTTCATACCCCCCCGGACAGGTGAGAAATCAGAGGCTCAAAGAGGTTAAGTAACTTGCCCACAGCTACTACCCACCTAGAGAGGAGAAAGCAGGATTTGAATTCAGGCTATCTGGCTCTAGTCCTGACCTCATCATCACTACCCCTCATGCTTATTAAAAGTTGATTTTACCAGCTGGGTGTGATGGCAGTTGCCTGTAGTCCCAGCTATTCAGGAGACTGAGGCAGGAGGAATGCTTGAGTCCAAGAGTTCGAGTCCAACCTGGGCAACATAGCAACACACCATCTCTAATTTTTTTTTTTTTTCCCCCAGACAGAATCTCACTCTGTTGCCCAGACTGGAGTACAGTGGAGAGATCTTGGCTCATTGCAACCTCCACCTCCCAGATCGAAGCGATTCTCATGTCTCAGCCTCCCCAGTAGCTAGGATTACAAGTGAGTGCCAACACGCCCAGGTAATTTTTGTATTTTTAGTAGAGATGGGGTTTTGCCATGTTGGCCAGGCTGGTCTTGAACTCCTGACCTGAAGTGATCCACCTGCCTCAGCCTCCTAAAGTGCTGGGATTACAGGTGTGAGCCACCACACGTGGCCTAAAATTGTTTATCTAATTAAAAAAAGTTTAAAAAGTTAACTTTACTAGTTGAACGCTATTTTCTTAATACCCATTTAAAAATTCAGCTTATAAGCCAGGCATGGGGGCTCCCTTCCTCCACATACATAAGTGGAAAAATCCTGACACGGTGAGTACTTTAATGTGAAATTCGAGAGTGCATGTACATGAGACATGAGAATTGCTTCAATCTGGGAGGTGGAGGTTGCAGTGAGCCAAGATTGCACCACTGTACTTCAGTACAGTGTCATCTTAGCACTTTGGGAGGCAGAGGTGGGAGGATCACTTGAAGCCAGGAGTTTGAGGCCAGCCTGGGCAGCAAAGCAAGACCCTGTCTCCTAAAAAAATAAATAAATTCAATGTATACAAAAAATACCAGCAGCCCTCTGTGGATTATTAATGCAATAGCTATTGCTACTTCCTCCACATACATAAGTGGAAAAATCCTGATATGGTGAGTACTTCTAATGTTAAATACGAGAGTGCATGTAAAGCACTTAGCACATGCAGGGTATACAGTCAGTGCTCAAAAAATACTGGCTGGCATGATATTTACATTCATTTCGCACCATCATACCTGTTTCTCCACTGCCTATACAATTTGTACCTCTGAGACCTTTCGGTCTGTCTTGAAGCTTACAGAATCCCCATATATAGAGAAGGAGTCACCAACTCAAAGGCCCATGGTCTCATACACAAGGAGACTGAACTGGGCCCCTGTGGACTTGGCTGTCCCCAGGAGCTGCCGTGTAGGACTGCAGGTTGGTGTGTATGTTGGCAGTGGTGGGGGAGGGGAGGGACCCAACCTTAGAATTTTTTTTTTAATTTTATTTTTTAGAGATGGGGTCTTACTCTTGCCCAGGCTGGAGTGCAGTGGTGTGATCACGGTTCACTACAGCCTCACCTCCAAGGCTCAAGCAGTCCTCCTGCCTCAGCCTCTCAAGTAGCTGGGACTACAGGTACAAGCCACCACACCTGGCTAATTAAAAAAATTTTTTTTGGTTTTGTTTGTTTTGTAGAGACAGGGTCTCACTACATTGCCCAGCATGATTTTGAACTCCTGGGCTCTAGCGATCCTTCTGCCTCCAGCTCCCAAAGTGTTGGGATTATAGGCATGAGCCACCATACCTGGCCTGATCTTATGATTTTTAAAAGAAGCTGAGATTTTGAATTTTTATGTGAAAAACCGTCACTTTTAATGTTGGCAATCAAGTCAAATTTTTGGGAAACCGTGTTTCCCAAATCACATAGTCCGGTGGGGCTATATTAGGTCCCCAAGCTGCCACGTGGGAGCCATATTTCCATGCTTACAAACACAGACTGGACTTAGACCTGGGGTTGGGCAGTGTCCTCAAATACCGAGTGGGTGTGAAAACACTTCCCCCACAGGGTTGCTCCAGGGAGCTTCCCAGGGCTCTTATCATTCCCTGGGGAGATAAGACGTAGGTGGCACATGCAGCCCAGTTCCCAGCTCCCGTGAACTCCCAGATGAGTGGGAGCCCTTAGACTGTAGCACACACCCCATGTCAGGCGCTAGAGTAAATAAACTTTCCATTCATTCTCTTATGTAACAAAAAGAAATGCTCACCATTTGTAGACACACATGTACCCATCAGTAAAAATTATCTTCAGGACCCAGAAAATGTGTCTGGGCTACTATGATGCAAAGGATTAGGAAGGTTGAGAAAGAGCCAAGTAGTTGAGATAAATTTGATGATCTATGTAATATGCTTCGCTCAGGGCCAGGCACGTCAAAAATCATGCCATCCATTTATCCACTCATTTGTTCGTTCAACAGATAGTGGTTGAGTGCCTGTTTGTGCTGGACACTGTTCTAGATACTGGCAAGGGAGAGTGCAGTGGCAGGCACAGTGGAGGCCAGGACAGGCACAGGAATGGACCCCCATGCGCTCACATATTAACAGGGAGGCAGACCATGCACACAAACATTCCTGATGTCAGGAGGGACCAGGGATACTATTCAGCCAGTGTGCAATCAGGGGAGGCTTCCTGGAGGAGGTGACAATGCTCAGCGTCCCTTCCCTCATGGTGGCGCATCTCCCCGCGGGGCGTGGGCTCTTACCTGCTCCTCCTCCTCCCTCAGGCTGGGCAAGGTGCTGACGGAGAGGTTGACGGCGGTGACGGTCACGAAGAGCACCGACAGGCAGGCGAACACCTTGCCGGGCAGCCCCGAGTGCGGCCTCTCCACCATATCGCGCAGTCGCCGCATGCAGCGCCCCAGGCGGCCTTCGCCCTCGGCCGGGCCCTCGCTGTCGCGGCCCTCGCTGTCCAGCACATCGTCCTCTTCCTCCCGCTCCACCATCTCCGCGAACTCCTCGATCTTCTGCAGGTAGCGGCGCTTGCAGCAGCCGTCCAGGTGGTCCTCCGCAATGCCCCAGTACAGCAGCTCCTCCTGGAAGGACAACGCGCACATCTCACGCAGCAGCCGCAGCTTGCCCGCGCGCAGGAAGGTCAGGATGGTGCCGAAGGCCCCCGGGTTGCGGTCGAAGAAGAACTCGTTGCAGGTGACGTCGTAGTCATCGCACACGTTGAGGATGTCGTCGAAGTTGGTGCAGGCCTTGAGCTGGCCCAGGCGCGTCAGCGGGAACTCGTCCAGCGTGGTCCAGGGCAGTGAGTACTTGATGCCGCCCACGTTGATGATGATCCGACGGCGGCGGTCCTCGGGCTGGCAGCCTTGGGGGGGCTCATCTTGCGGCCGCAGCCGCTGCGCCCGGCGGTAGAACGCACCCTTGATGGCCTGGCGCTGCGGGAGGAAGGCCGGGTGGAAGGAGGCGTCCGAGGTGCAGCTCAGCGCGCTGTAGTCGTAGTCAGAATTGTCTCCCGGTAAGAGGGTCATTTTGAGCCTTCACATCCCTCTCGGGCCTGTGGGGAGAAGGGAGGAAAGACCCTTAGTGACCACCCTTAGCTTCACCTTGTTGAGAATGCAGACGCCGCAGATACTCAGTTAGGGATGGAATCTTTGTCCCCCACATCCATAGGCTGCAGCCCTTAGCCCTGCATGGCATGGTATTAGGTGGTGGGGGCTTAGAGATGTGATTTGGTTCAGATGTGGTTATGACAGCAAAGTCCCCACGATGGGATTCGTGTTCTTATAAGAAGAGGAAGACAGGCCGGGCGCAGTGGCTCATGCTTGTAATCCCAGCACTTTGGGAGGCTGAGGCGGGTGGATCACCTGAGGTCAGGAGTTTGAGACCAGCCTGGCCAACATGATGAAACCCTGTCTCTACTAAAAATAGAAAATCTAGCTAGGCATGGTGGCATGCACCTGTAATCCTAGTTACTAGGGAGGCTGAGGCATGAGGATCACTTGAATCTGGGAGGTGAAGGTTGCAGTGAGCTGAGATTGTGCCACTGCACTCCAGCCTGGGTGACAGAGCAAGACTCCATCTCAAAAAAAAAAAAAAAAAAAAAAAAAAAGGACACCAGGGCTTTCTCTCTGCCATGTGAACACTCAGGGAGGCATCTAAGTGTGAAGCCTGGAGGAGAGCGCTGCTGGCACCCTGCTCTTGGACTTGCAGCCGACAGAACTGGGAGAAATAAGTGTTGCTGAAGCCACCCAGTCTGTGGTATTAATATTTGGTTACATCAGCCTGAGCTGACAAAGACATTCACCTAATAGTGAAATAGCAACAATATTGTTCAGCATCTCCCAGCCTTCGCGATTCTCCCATATCCATCTATGCACTGGGGATGCAGCCATGTGCAGAATGTGAAGGGGGTCTCTGATCCCAGGCAGCTGACATCCTAGTGGATTTTCAGGCGACACATGTACTGTTATTTACTTAACATTTTATTTTAAATTAACCTTTTTTTTTGGTATTTATTTGGCTTGGAAAAACAATTTAGTGTAGACTTACAGTTCTCATAGGGCTGATTTTGTCTCTCAAAAGACATGTAGCAATGCCTGGAGGCATTTTTGCTGGTCATGACTGGGGATGCTATTGACATTTAGTAGGTAGAGGCCTGGGAATGCTGTTGCATGTCCTACAATGCACAGGACAGTCCCCACAACAGACATTTATTAGCTCCCAAATGTCCTTAATGCTGTGGTGGAGAAGCCTGGTTAGTGGTTATGAACATAGACTTTGGAGTCACACAGCCTAGGCAAATGACTCAACCTTGGTGTGTCTCAATTTCCTTGTCTGTAAAATGGGTACAGCCACATGACCTATTTGATAAGATTACTAGGAGGTCTAAGTGAATTATGTACATAGGAGCATTTAATGCAGTGCCTGGCACATAGTAGGTACTCAGTAATTATTGTCTATTATTACTATTATTTTTGAGACAGAGTCTCACTCTATTGCCTAGGCTGGAGTGCAGTGGCACCATCTTGGCTCACTGCAACCTCTGCACCTTGGGTTCAAGCAATTCTCGTGCCTCAGCCTCCCGAATAGCTGGGACTACAGGTGTGCCACCACACCCGGTTAATTTCTGTATTTTTAGTAGAAATGGTTTTGCCATGTTGGCCAGGCTGGTCTTGAACTCCTGACCTCAGGTGATCTGCCCACTTTGGCCTCCCAAAGTGCTGGGATTATAGGTGTGAGCTACCGCGCCTGGCCTATTATTATTTATCTTAAAGGGATAACTTATATTGTTTCCATTAATGGAAAACAGGTATCACTTGCCATAAATCAGAAGCAACGGACAAAGAAATGCACAGCTATGAAAGAAATGCCACGTTTGCTCAGGTGACGCAAACATCACCTTGAGGATGGATGCAGGGGTGAGCTGGACAGTCACGTTCATCCAGGAAGCCTTCCTTGGCTCTTCCAGCTAAATTGAGCACCCCTCCCCTTACAACTGGTGCATCTGTCTTCACAGCACTTACCACCCAGTTCTAGAATTGTCTGTGTGCAAGCCTGGCTCCTTCATTAGGGAGCCTGCTCCCTGGGGGAAGAAACGTGCTTCAGTCATCTCTGAATCCCTGTGCTCAGCACTGTAAGGGCTCAAAGAAGTGCTTGCTAAATGAGTACATCTCCTGTTGATGAGACCAACATGATAAGGCGACTTCTGGGGAACTGAGGTCAAAATATTAACTCACATGGACTCCTTCCTTCCCTACCCTCAAGGCTAACGGTTTGCGCTACTGGAACAAGATTGTTTATTCATTACCAGTTCATGGGCTGTATTTGGTTCACAGATATTTTGCTTGGCTTGGAGAAGTTTTTGAAAGTTGAGAAATTTCATGTAAAAATCCATATCCTTGGCTTCTCTTAAAAAATCAGGATATCTGGCAACACTTGGCCTAAACGCCAACTGAGAAATGGCTACCCCTTTAGGCAGCACATACTCCAATCCACCACAGTTCCCACCGCCCCCCACTATTGTCTTCCTAACGCCCACTCTATTCCACTCACATGTGTTTCCTTCCCGGCCCTATAGGCATTTGAGTTTGAGACCCGTAGATTACAGCTACAGAGCTCTCTGGAATTAAGCTGATGCACAGAAAACTTAGTAGGAGTCAAATACTCTGCTTTTAAAAATCACCAGCCCTCGGCCGGGTGTGGTGGTTCAGGCCTGTAATCCCAGCACTTTGGGAGGCCAAGGTGGGTGGATCATGAGGTCATAAGATCGAGACCATCCGGGCCAACATGGTGAAACCCCATCTCTACTAAAAATACAAAAATTAGCCAGGTGTTGTGGCACATGCCTGTAATCCCAGCTACTCAGGAGGCTGAGGCAGGAGAATCACTTGAACCTGGGAGGCGGAGGTTGCGGTGAGCTGAGATTGTGCCACTGCACTCCAGCCTGGTGACACAGCAAGACTCTGTCTCAAAAAAAAAAAAAAAAAAAAAAAAAAAAAAAATCACTAGCCCTCTCCCTAGACAAATCCCCGATGGAATCAAGTTGGTAAAAGTCTATCAATTCCACATGGAAACCCATTTCTAACACTTAAATATGGGTCGGTGGTGTGGGCATGTTCAGGACTACACCCGCTCATGCACACACACATACACAAACACATGTACAAATGAATGAGAAAGTGTTTTAATAGGTGCTGGAAGGAGAGGCAGGGTGTTTCACACTTAAAAGGGCCTCCTTCCTAAGAGGAATTGCTTTACAAAAGCACATCATCCCTCTGCTACTCACTGATCTTTGGGGAAGGCCACAATTGCATAGATCAGGGTTTGGAAAACTAGGGTACACCTGTGTTTAAAAGAAAATGATTTGATTTTAGACGGTGAGAGTGTTTTTAACTTCACCTAAAATTGGAACCCATCTCCTCAGGCAGAGCCTGCCAGGATCCCTTGGAGGCGTGGGAATAATCCCTTTCAGGCACTTTCCTTGGTGATCTCTCTTTTCAGCTCTGCTGTTTCATCTTTGCTACCACAGACAAGAGAAAAAATGACATTCTGTTTGGCAAGAATGGCGATGGAGGTAAAGGGAAAGTGCCTCACACAAGCCCTGGAGGGCTCTAGTGAATCTCCATGGCTTTAATCACCTCTTCTTTTTAGGAATTTCTTCTTTCAACCCTCCCGGCTTTCCCTCCAGCAGAAAACTCCCCCAATTAGCGATTTATTTCCTTCACGCCCTGCCCCCATGTGAGTTTCCTGTGTGGAAAGTGATCCTGTCTCGGCAGCACGGGGAGTATGGAGAGGCTGATGCTACTCGGAGGGTAATAAACACAGTAACGACCTTGTTCTCAAAGCCAGAGTTCCCTGGGGAGATGCCGAGGCCGGAACTTGCTAAAGGAAGAACAGGCATATTTTTCCATGGCCTTTGGTCTTGCAGATACCCGATCTGCTGTGAGATGGACGGCTCAGCACCTCTAGACCCTACACTAAAGTTCATAAATCAAAGAGGCCCCAAAACCTGGGCTTCTGAAAAATAATGCTGCTTTTCACCCAGCCTGACATCCTCACAAGAAAATTTTTATTTCTCCATGGTGTTAGTTCTGTGAGTTCTACAGCATGGTGGGTTTTAGTGATTTTGCCTCCGAGGGTCTATGGATGCTTGGGGAGAGGAAGCTGTTTGAGGCAGAGGCTGCGATGGGGGCGGTGAGGCGAAGTCCGGAGGCAGGTGTCATTCATTCATTCATTTGCTCATTTATTCAATAGTTACTGAACACTCACCACGTGTCAGACTCAGACTCTGTGTTAGAGCCGGAGACACGGCAGAGAACCAGACAGACCCAGCCCTTGTCCTCACGGAGGTGACCTTCTGGTGGGAGAGACTGCTTCCAAATGAGCACACAAGTCATTTCAGGCTGCAGCGACTGCCCTGTTGTTGACAGAGCAAGGGGAAAGATGGAGAATGACTACTGCGGGATGTGGGGCAACACTGGCTGGAGGGGTGAGGAAGGGCTTCTTGGAGGAGGGGACATGGGGCTGAGCCGCATGGATGGATCCAGCTCTGTAAGGACCTGGCAGAGGGAGTGGCAAGAATTTTCTCCCTGACTTGGGGGTGGGCTTGGATGATCAAAGACCAGAGAAGGCCGAGCACAGAGCGAGGGGAAGCTGGGAGAAGAGGAGGGGGGCAGGGGCTAGGTGCAGCAGGGCCCAGGGACTGACAATAAGGAGCTGGGGCTTATTCTGCAAGGGAAAAGGAGTCCATGTGCACCTGCCAGGTCAGTGGACAGCACATGGGCTGGGGAACCCAGGCTGGAGGCTATGGAAGTCATTGTGGAAATGACTCAGGTTTGCAGCGGTGGAAGTCCTGGAGAACGGGAGGGATTTGGGATGAACTTTGGAGGAAGAGCCTTCAGGACTGGCTGAGGAATGGGGCCTGGGGGAGCGGGAAAGGGAAGCAGGATTCCAAGGGTACCATTTACCGAGACTACCGATAGGTGGCGCTATGGTGAGCTGAGTCAGAGGAAGCCGTTCCTGGCTGTGGGACGATGGACAGAAGAGGATGCCGGC